TAATAAAATATTTTTACATTTCAGAGTACGGATGATTCAGATATATCTGTCATTGCCCAGAACAAGAAATGCTTTGACAATGATATTGTCTGTTCTAAAAGTGTTCTGATTTCAGTTGGGGATACTGAAATTTACCTGAATGATGCTCCTTACAAACAGGTTAGTGAATTATTTCTTTTAGGATCATTTTAACTTGTCCTGAGGATACCGAAAATAGAATAGAAGTGGTTTGGGGTACTTCTCTCTGTACGTGGTTACAAGATCTACATTGTTTTTTCTTTGTCATTTTATGTGGCTTCAGTAAATCATATTTGACTGGTCTCTTTTGTTTATACTTTCTTTATACTTACTCCATAGTCCTGTTCTTTCCTCTTCCTTCCCACGGTCATCACTCCAGCCCTAGCAAACATTACCTGTTGCCTTGATTACTTCAATAGCTTCCAAACTGGACTCCCAGCTTCTAGCCCTAGTTCTCCCCTTCTAATCCATTCTCACACACTGGCCAGGATGCTTTTTCTAAAATGGAAATCTAATCTGTCACTCTGGTGATTCAGAAGTTTCATATGGCTTCCTGTTGCCCTTTCAGGGGAGGGCCTTGCCAGTCTGGCTGTCCCACCTCTCCTGCCTCAGCTTTTGTCACTTTCTGCTTCAAGCCCACATTCCAGAAGGCAGAGCTTTTATCAGTTGTTCCTGAATGTCATTGCTCCTACCTGGATCTATCTTTTCATTTCACTTATTCATATGTAATATGTCTTGTCTTACCTCCTTTAAGGAGCTCCTCTTCATGCCCTCAAGCACCCTGTTGGAACATGCATCATGCTAGAGTGAAATTACTTGCGAGGTTGTCTTCCGCCATTGTCTGTTGTGTGAGAATTGGGGCCACTGTCTCCCTGGTTTATTCTTGTATACTTGGAGCTGGCCCAATTTAAAAGAATAAATAAATTTAATCAATCAATTAGTTCATTCATAGTGTCTACAGTATATCAAAACTTGTGCTAATCATTGGGGCTACAACAGTGAAAAGACACAGTATTTGCCTTTAAGGAACTCATACTCAGGTGAGGAATAAACAAGGATGTACAGCACTGATGTTCTATAACAGCAGTTTAGGTAGAATAAAATGAGAATTCTTGGGAAAAACACCTAAAGCAACCCAAGATGTTTAGGGTGGTTGTTAAAAGCATAGACTAATTTAGAGTTAGTCAGTACTGACTTAGAACCTCTGTTCTATTACCTGCTATTTGTGTCACTCTGGGGAAGTTCACTTAATTTGTCCAAGCTGGAGATTTTCCCAAATTTGGAATGATTTTAAAATCTACTTCTTAAGTTTGTGTGGGGGTTGAAATGAAATTACGAAATAATGGATTTCAAGAAATGGCTCTCTTCTCTTCCTTTACCCTCCTTATTTTTGAAAGCTCAGAAGACATGCTCTGGATGAAATGATTTGGACTGAGTCTTAAAGGATGAGTAGGAATTAGCCAGATGAAGAGAGGGAGTAGGATGGCAATCGATACAGAGGAATAATCACTCTCAAAGGAGCAGAGTCAAAAGATGAAATGTCGTATTTGGATAACTGCGAGTAGTTTAGTTTGGTTGAAGCACAATATATGGGACAGTGGATGGAGGGTGTGGCAAAGAGATTTAGAGAGGAGTGTCCTGACCAACAGTAGTGCAGGGGGTACGGGGGTTAGGGCAGTAGGCCAGGGAGCTGGGTCCAGACTATGGAGGCTCTTGAATAACACAAGATATTTGAACCTCATGTTTTAGGCAAGACATTTTGGAGTTGAAAAGCACATGATCTGAAAAATGGCCTTTGAAAGGTGACCTATTTTCTGAGATTTTTAGAACAGTGTTTCTCTAAGTTCAGTCTGTAAGTCTTCTTCATTAAAATCATCTGGAATTGTTGTTATAAGTGCTGATTTCTGGGCCCCACTAGAATGGCTGAGGTTGAAAATGAAATTGGTATTTTTAATGGTACCTGAAATTCTTGTGCACACTAAAGTTTGAGAACTGTTGCCCTAGAACATAGCTTATGTCACAGTCAGAACCATGGAGACCACTGGGCAGCAATCAGACTTTGGGTGAAACAAAGTTTCTATGGTCATGTTGACATATTTTTAAAGTAATTATAGCAGTTTGGCATAACCATCAGCCAAATGTTCATTTATAGGTGAAGATTCTCTCTAAGAACTCTAAGAACAAGGATATTTAAAAAAAAACTGAAAGAAGAAATATTAATAGTAAATGCTCTTATATAGGCAGTTTGACACAGTTTTGAAGTGTTAAATACAGCTTGGTGTAACTCTCAACTTCCAGTTTTCACCTGTATGCAGGTGTTGATGAATCTTCTTTATATAGCTTGTGAAGTATGAAGTAAGATTAAGAAAAGTTATAAAAATAGTTTGACCTTAACAAATTTCCTACTGATATTTTTTTTTTCTCAAACATGAAAAGTGAAAATAAGTACTGTTTATTTTATGGTAGATGGACTACCCATCCAGGGGAAAAAAAAAGTCTTATTTTTTATGTGAATGTACAATTCTAATTTTATCACACATATAATATATAAATATTTGTTAATTTATTTGAGCTATACTTTAAATGTTTTACTTCTCCATATTTCTCACTTACCATTCTTAACATCACTAGAGTTTGTTTAAAATGCAACAATTCTCATCTGAAGAGGATGTCTCTGTTTTGCACAATGGTAATACCTCGCTTTTCTAATGAGAAGTATTACTAATCTGACAAGTAAGGAGTATGGCAACTCCTTACCACCAAAGAGGATTTTCCTTCTTGTAGTAAACTGCCCTGTCAAACAAAAGTGAAGGATTTTATATTTAGAGACAAGTAGAAAAGATGTGCTTTTGCATCCCAGGATAACTGATGCAGAACCAAACTGTGAGCAGAGCAACAACAAAGTCAAAGACAAATCAGATGATAAAAAGATACTGAAAAGTGCAATGAAAATAACAGTAGGTTCTATGGCCGAGAATGACTTGGAGGCAGGGCAGGCAAAATGAAAATGTGGGGCCCTTGTTCAAAACAGGAAAAAAAATCTTTGTTTTTCCTTTTTTTTCAGGGTCTCTCTTGTATCATTTTTTTTTAATCATTTAATGCCATGTTCACTTGGGCATAGGGGTTCTCCTAGGGTGAGTGCAGACAGTGGTCTCTGGGTGGCAGCAGGGAAGCAGACAGCTGCGAATCCATCCCTGGAAGGTGGGCGGACAGAAGGAGATGCGAGTCAAGGCCCTTCCTGGCATATGTTTCTTTATCCCATTGGACTTCATTGACACAACACTAGTTCAAAGGTAAAATTATTAGAATTTCAAAATGGCAGCTACAGAGCATTAAACCCCAAAGTGGGCCCCACTTCTGAGCATAAAACTCTGCCATTGCACTGTCCAAATGCCCACCAATTCAGCCCATCTTGGGGATGAGAGCTCTGCTGAGACAATCAGGGGAGGCTTCACTAAGGAGGAAGCATATGTGTCACAGGTGATGGGAGTGAGGCAGTTATGCCAGAGCGGGGAGAAGAGAATTCCTAGCAGGAGAAATACTAAGCACACAGGACTTGAGATGGGTGCAAGCTTAGGTTAATTCGAAGAACAGAAAGAAGGCCAACATAGCTGAAGCTTAGTCAGTGAGGGTCAGGGATTGGGGAGTGGAAGGATATAAGCTTAGGTTGAGCCAGTGAACAATATCTGTGGTTATGTACAATACATACTGTTCTGCACAATATATTGTGCACCTATTTTAAACATGACCTCGGTCTAGAAGACAGAAAATTCCTTATGGATGTGACTAAATTTATTTCATTTTTCCCTTTGAAGTATTTATTACAAAGTCTGCTGTAGTATAGTATTTTCAAACTAGGCTTCTGTTACTACTTAAAAAGAGAAAAATAACCAAAAAATTTCATATTTCCTTCACAATTTTTATTCTGCTTTGGCTAAATTTGTTTTACTTACTTGATACAAGCATGCATTTTTTGGCTCATTTTATTATACGAGTTAATTTTAAGATCAGATTTTATATAACCATGCTTAGAATATAGCCCTTGCTTGTAAAGAATATTGCATATTCTCATTTTAAGATAAAGGTACTCTAAAATTTCCCAATGTGTTCCATCTCTAATTTCTCTCTACTTGTATCCTTTCTACTACATGAATTATTTTCTTTTAGTATACTAACATGGTTTGTCACTTTGCTGTTCAGAAGCCTTTATTGACTACATTTTATACATGTGGTAATTACTCTGTATGGGTAACCAGTTGCAAAAGTCTCAGGCTATATGCACCATGCTTTAGCCTTTTGGTGCTCTCCTTAGTCCTGAATAAATATTCCACTTTCCTGTCCCTAAGCCTTTATTCAAGCTATTTCTTTTGTTTGAAAGGATTTCTTCTCCATTCTCCTTCCCAAACCTCTATACCTTCCTATGCTTAACCTCCTGTAGATCATTTCTTACCCTACGTCTTGCAAGAAACCCTTCTAATTTCCTTTGATGGTAATTCATGCCCCCCACCCTCTTTCTCTTCCACATACATACGGTAGTTCCCCTTACCCACAGGGTATACATTTCAAGACCCTGAGTGGATGCCTGAAAACTGTGGATAGTATCTAAGTCAATTGACATCATTTGGAACACGTTTCTGTTCCATGTTTCATGTCTTCCACCCACAAATTGAATGCCTTTTCCATCTTAACTAAGCACTTACCATGCACTGTGGCTGTAACTTTTGCAATATAAGGTACAATAGCAAAACTAGCATGAACACTTTTCCCCTTTTCACAATTTCATAAATAGAAGATTCATTCTTACAATAGATCTTAGCAACCTCAGGATACGATTTTTTTTCTTTCCTTATTAAATTGAGAACTTTCACGTTTTCACTTAAAGGAAGTACTTTATGGCTTCTCTTTGGCTGGATTGTGAAGGCAGTATCTCCTAACAAACTCAATAATTTAGGTTTTCAAAAAATATTTGGTGAAGTCAGTAGACTATTTCATGCTATTATTAACTACTTAGAAACATGAGCAAGCCCAAATTTCTCTCCTTTGCAGGCAAGGTCATACCTTTTTAGTCCTCAGTGATATTTGTTCTTCATAGACGTAGAATTTCTGATTCAGCAGGGATACCCTTTAATGTCCTCTGTGTTCATTCCCTTACCCATGCTCTTCCCCATACGTAACTGAAATACCTTCTCCCTTTGCCCATTTATCCATGTTGAGCCCATCTGCTACTTTATGTCTGATTATCGATTTTGTGTATTTCCTATTTTGTGCATTCGTTTTGTCTTTTCTTGCAGAATTCAGAAAGGACATGGTCAATCAACTATACTAGTACATAGTTATTGACAGATATTAACTTAATTATTAATTTGAGACATTTTGGTTAGAGAACATAGTATTCATTTTTTTCTTTTTCTTTTTTTTTTTCCCCAAAGAAATTATCAGGTTTTTTTCTGGAAAGTAAACATACCTACCAGCTTTGGAAAGCTGGGTACTACATAGTGGTATACTTTCCAGAGAAAGATATCACTATTCTTTGGGATAAGAAGACAACTATTCATATCAAAGTTGGACCACAGTGGAAGGTAGGTCAACCTAAGCTCCAAAAGAGATATAATAATGAAGTTATATTTACCTTTTGATGTTTGGTGGAAAAAAATGATTGATGTTTTCCTTTAAGAACCAGGTTATATTTTCAGAATTACTAACTCATACTCCTGTGAAAAAGAACTTTCCCAAGTTCGTGGTATAGGTCTTTTTGACTTTAACCTGATAGTATTCAGTTTTCCGAAGTTACTTAGGTCAGCTCCTTTCTTCTGACCCTCTTTGGCTTGGTTATGTGATGTGTTTATAATACAATTATATTCACTTCTTATAGTGTTTTCTATATTTGTCTTTGGATAGATGTAGTTTCTGAGATCAGAGGCCCCACGGTAACAAGTGGCCATGGGTCGTAATCCCAGGGTTATTGTCTGCTTTGCTGGAGACATAGGCAGCCTACTTCACTATTAATGAAGGGATGCATTCTGTTCTAAGTATTGAAGAGAGAATTCAGCATGTTTAAATTCAAGGTTTTAAGGAGTCCTATTGTTTTTGGAAGATTGTCTGTGCTGCAAGTCCTTCTCCTTCCTCTAGGAGTAAAATTTTTGACATTATTTTGAGAAAACCCCGCGGGTATTGTTGATGTTAATAGTTCATATGCACATTGCAGTAACAATTTTGCAACCCATAACAACCTAAATTATCTTTCTTGTTTCAACATTAATAGTGTTACAAAATCTTA